GAGAGGTCGTAAAACTAAAACTACTAAATTGATAGCCGGTGGGAGTGGGTCGACATGAGGTTCAGCTCGAGAGAATGAATCATAGTCTCATTCCCACACACTTAGCTCGAGAGAGTGAGTGGCTTAAGGTGTAGGCTGGTCTTCATGCGGCAAGTAGGTGTCTGAGAGGAACACATTTGAAACGGGGTAAGTGAGAGAGCTTATCCCCCTTAAAGTTTAGCCTAGTCACAATTATGAATCTTCTATCGAAAGTATGTACCCAATAATCTAGCTTAACTCGTATTCCCGTACATCCCAAGGATCCCCTCTCATTACTTAGAAATCCTTGTTTATTTTATTGTTTTTACTCACTAGTGACAAAACTCCATTGTTAAGTGACACTCTTATGTCCCCCTTTAATTTACAATGTTTTTAATTGTTAATGTTTTTAGCTACGACTAGTTAGAACTAAATTTTATTTTTCTATTAATTCTCAAAACCACTCTCTTGGAACGATCTCAACCCTTGGTTGGGTTACTAAACTATTGTACCATTGTAGACACTTGCATCGAAAGTTATGTCTTGATTATGCAAACATCAAAATGGCGCCGCTGCCGGGGAGTGGTGTTACTTGAGAATTCTTAGTTAAGTAGAATTTCTGTTTTTAATAGTTGTAGTTTTACTAATTTTATTTTTAGTTTAGTTTTTCTCTAAGTTGTTGTATGCAGAAACCCGGAGCATGGCTGAGGGAAGTGGTGGCAAGTTAGCTGAGGTGAACCAAGAAGTCAAGGGTGACTTCAAGTTAGCTGCACTGGTAACTCAGTTGAACGACTTAACCACCAAAATCTCAAAGGTGAAAAACCAGTGCAAGAGCCAAAGGAGGCACATACCTCATTATGAGCGAGAAAGGTCTAGGAGCAATGAAAATAAATGTATCGAGGATACGCTATTAATCAGTCTCAGCTTCACGAGCAAGATAGAATGCTAGAGGTGATGAGGGAAAACGTGGAGGTACTAAATCAGATGAGTGGCTCCCACTCAAGATCAATCAAGTTGATTGAAGACTTCTTGGACCACACATTGCCTCATCTCTACCCAAGCAGTAAAGGCGGGTTGCCTAGTGGCATTAGGTCTAACCCCAGAGACGAAGTTTGACTGGTAGCTCACGTCGAGCCACGACGTTAAATAAGGCGCTTCTTGGGAGGCAACCCAAGGTTTTAAATATTTTAGTTTAGCCTAGTCACAATTATTCTATGAATCTTCTATCAAAAGCATGTACCCAATAATCTAGCTTAACCCGTATTTCCATCACATCCCAAGGACCCCCTCTCATTACTTAGAAATCCTTGTTTATTTTGTTGTTTTTACTCACTAGTGACAAAAATCCCATTGTTAATTGACACTCTTGTGTCCCCCTTTAATTTACCCAACCCTTGTTTGGGTTACTAAACTATTGTATGATCGTAGACACTTGCATCGGAAGTTGTGTCTTGATTACGCAAACATCGGGAACTTCCTCAATAAGCATAAATAGAGTTACCTTTTTTTGTTGTTGCATATGTGATGAGCAATTACATCCATAAAAAATCATCCATCAACAATTATACATTAGAATAACTAAGTATATGCATTTACATACAATGACGGTGATGAGCAATATAATTACATCCACCAATAGTCATCCATCAACAATTATACATATAAATTAATGTATGCATTAATATAAAGTGATTTTGAAAACAATTTTTTGATATGTATAATTATAAGTCAGGAATTATAAAAGTCATTTAAAAATTGATGACATACGTAATATCTTTGAGAATTAGATAGGTTAATGTTGGGATATGTAAAGTTTCTGACTAAATCTAAGTATGTGCGCCATATTAAGATGTTTGGTAATTCAAATGACATATTTGTTCTTCAATGTTGAAGGATATTTTAGTTTTTAATAATATTTAAATTTAGTGAAAGGGTAAAATCGTAATTACTAAATGTAAGTTTTAATAATCAAAAAAATAAATTGGCTATAAAAAAGATATGTATAAAGAAAATTTTTACAAAATGTCTAGGTGGTGTAACATTAAATTTATAGAAAAAAATACAAGTTCAAACGGAAAAGAAAAAAAAGTAGAAAAAGAAATGACATCCATAATAAAAGACAAATCATTAAAATATATAGACAATAATACTGTCATATTAATTGAATTACATTTTGTTAGAAGTCGACTTGCTATAGACAAAATGCTTCATATGTATAAAAAAACTAAAATCATAAAAAATAAATAAACAGAAAAGAAAGCATGACTATGTTAAAAATACAGATACATTATATTTCTTGAACTATATATTAAAGAATTTGTATATAAAAAATTAAATATGAATTGTAATACAATAAAATTCCCTGTAACATTTGCACTAATTTTTACTTTACATTATTTTTTATTTTATTTTTACTTGTGCACTAATTTTTGTATGTCTCTGTAATAGTTAAGTACATGAATTTTATAAGCATTTGAGATTACATATAAAAAGAAAAAAGTACAAACATGTTGTTTTGAAAAGATAAATGATTATCAAACAACGAAAAATACATAATTACAAATCTTTATCAAAGACTTACTCTTTAATCACGAGTCTAGTTGTGAAAATATTCTGCGGGATTTAACATGCTTACCCTCAAAACAATTAATTATAAATATAAATTGGGATTACCTTGATTATATTTATATCCTAAAGATAGAAGAAATGAAGATTATAAATATATAGTAATCAATTACGAAATTATATTTAAAATCTCAAAAAGACGGAGATATGAAAAATAAAAATTCACTTACAACTTCATATTGGAGAATATTCATCTTGTAACTATGATAATTTACATATTTCTCAACAAAAAGAAGATGAATATGCATGAAATTTTAAAGAATATAAATAAATGAATCAATAAGAATTCTTACGATTACAAATTGGTAATGAAAATTTTACAAATGATGTAGACTAACCTAATGTAGAATGAAATATGAGCACAAATTTGGATGAAAGAAGGAAATATAAATAATGTTGTGTGAGTGTCTTTGATAGACTCTTCATTACCCTCACTTATCTTACAAATTAAAATTGAAGGTTATCAGACTCTTCATTACCCACATTTAAGATCTTGCATTAAGTCGAGGTACATGAATATATGATTGTATTATGAAAAGTATTTTTGGTCACAACTCACCAGTGTTTCTCTAAAAAGTAATTTGAGAGAGTAGCCTGTTGTTTATCTTTCCATTTCTTATTGTAACACTATATTTTTATATTTCTTGCCTTTACTATATTCAAATTCTATTTGAAAAACCATAACTCATGGAAGGAATTGAAAAGTAAAAAGTTACTAAAGGATTCCTTCCGTTTCTATTTAGTATCAATTTAGATTTCACACTCATTAAAAAATTAGGTAAATTTATTATTGTATCTCTATTTAATGTTCTCTTAAAATTAAAATTTCAAAATGTGTGATAGTAAATATGTTTATTCGAAGTCTAAATTAACATTGATTCATATCAAATCTTACAAAGTAAAATAAAAAAATAATCTTTTTATATTCTCTTATATTTCATGAAGAGTAAATTACAAATGAAATACATGATAATTGAAATGCATTGAACTACTATTTTAAATTTTTGAGCTTGAAATTGGAGTCAAAATTTCAATACGAATTGATTCAAAAAATTTAGTTTGTTTGTACTTTGTTGTGTGAAGATGAGATTTTTTTATCATTTTTATTTTATTTCAAAATTTAGTCTTTACTTTTCACCATGTAAAACACAAGTCTTCGCTTATAAAGTAACTGTGCTTCAAAATAGGCACGACCCCTGTTACAGCACATTAAAGTATCTCAGACTTTGACCATATATCTCACAGAGTCTTCCCCATTAGTGCAATTAATGTCGTTAATTATGATGGGCGTAGTGACCAATTGACATGAAAGTTTTGCAGTGTTACCATTCCCCTGCCCCACTGTTTCTTCTATTTTACTTATATAATTCAATTACCGAATGTTGAGATACAATACAAAAAACACTACAAACTTTGGTTGAGACTTTACAAAGTTCTTTCTCCGTCTTTGCACTATATTCATGTACAAAAAATCAACGCAAAATCGAGTATCAAATTTTACGGTGAGAACTCACACAGTTTGCGAGTCTTTTCACTACTTTAAGAATTTGGATATTAGAGAGGGAACGATCATAATCATAATGAAGTTGTTAATGATGCGAGCAAATTACCTAGTTTTTATAATTATAATGACGTGAACCTGGCCTTGCTCTTGTTGATTCGAGAATTCTATGCTTTCCTAACAGAGAAGAAATTTAACATAACCTAAAACTATACAATCCCATAATCCAAGAAACGTTTATCCTGAATATTCATATATCATATCTTGTGTTTAATTAAAGAAATTGATTACCTCGCTTCTTAATTAAGCACTGAAATGACTCACATCCCAAAAGCTAGCTCAAAGGGAGGAGGATTGTCCAAGTCTTATAAGGAGTCTACCCATTTCATTAACCACCGATGTGGGACTTTTGTCATTCTTTAATACCCCACCTCACGCCCAGTGCTTAGCATCTGGTGCGTGGGCAATTTTGATTTGGGGGCCCCAACATCGGGTGAGATGGATCCTGCTCTGATACCATGTTAAATTAGGTCTTAGGCCTAACTCACACCCCAAAAGCTAGCTCAATTTGTCCAAGCCTTATAAGGAGTCCACCCATCTCATTAACCACCGATGTGGGACTTTTGTCATTCTTTAACAGGAAGGATAAGTTACAAGCTGTGGCATTGTCTGAATTTAATTAATAAAACTAATTGAATGACAAATGCAAAACTAGCATGGTCCCATTTCTTTCTGTAAAACCGAAAATATTAAGGAGAAATCAATCTAAGTAGAGCAAATTAAAGATCAAATTGGCAATTTCATTATTCTGCAAATATCCTTGAAATTGGAACCTAATATGAATATCTTTAAACATTTAATTTTGACCAAGGGATAGGGCACGGAAACACTTTTCAATTCGGCCTAATTCCCTTGCGACTTGAATAATGTATGGTCTATCATCTCCTTTCAAAGTTGTGCATTTCTTAACAAGATCCAAGTAGTCTTCCAACTGTTGTTGAATCTCAATACCATGTTCTTCTAAAATGATAGGATCTGCTATATCCATTGCATTACTCTCTTTAATATAATAATCGACAATGTAACAAAACTTGTTTGGAAGATTTTTAAACTCTGTTGTCTCTTTTGAATTCGTAGAATTCAATCTATCCGTAGAATTACCCTCTTCAGTATTGGATTTAACGTCTTCTTCAAAATCTATTCTCTCTTTTGAACATATTGATTCTGCTGTGTACATAATATCCCACATCTCCTTTCCGGTTAATAGCTGATAGAGAAGAATCCCAAAGCTGTAGACATCAGTTTTTTGAGTAATAATACACTGCTGGAGATATTCTGGATCTACATACCCAATTGTTCCACTCACACGATCATCTTGCAACTCCAATTCTCCTGGAGGTAATGATATGGAGAGTGAGAAGTCCACTATTTTGGCAACGCCGCTCTTGTCATCTATTATCACTTTAGATGGCTTTATATTTCTATGGATGATGGGCGTAGAAAATTCAGTATGGAGGAAAACGATTGCCGAAGCGACATCACGTGCAACTCGTAATCGATTTCCCCAACATAGCGATTTTCTATTAAGATTATCCTTTTTGAAAAGTAGATCGCTAAGAGATATAGCTTCAACATATTCATACACCATAACTGGTTCTTCAAATTCTAGACAGCAACCGACAAGTCTCAACACATTCTTGAGATGACTCATCTGAGCAGTAATCGCTATATCTCGATGGATAGCGAAGAGCCTACCGCTGTTGAGCCTAATTAAAACGGGGCGGTTGCCTAGCAATCCCGTAACCATAGATATATCGGTAAGGTCCATTTTGGTTTTAGAGTGTTTTATTGCATTGTCAATCTCTATGGCAGTGAAGTAACGGATGGGAATTCTGCAATTTCCGTCGCATAAAGCAAGAAGCTCCTCAAGCACACAACTTCCATTCTTCAAATAACAATCCTTCTCTTTCTTCCGCCTTACAGCAGAGGCAGAGGAAAAAAGATTTTTACTTGTGAGTCCCCAGAAGAAAGGCATACTCTAATTTAGAAGTAACTAGCTAGTCTGGATAAATTGGGATTAAATCCAATAAGGCATACCACTACTCACAAGTGGGAAGCTGCTGTCTTAATTTGTGCATTGAATTCCACACAAATTGAGTTTCCAACCACTTTCATTGTGAATGCATCAGTGGGGTTCACAAGGATGCCAGTGAAAACGCGTCTGCTTTACAAAGCTTGGGCTCCACCCCACCTTAAAAGCCGTGCTGACCTTACATTGTAGTAAGCTAAGTCTCCGTTAACCTTATCTTTTCTTTTTTTCTATTAAGGCGTGGTGTGGTGCCTCCAAGCTTTTGTCCATTTGTTTTCTTTTCCACTTCTGTTGTCCCTTTTGAAATTTTAATTAAAAAAAAAATTGTTTTGTAGACTCCGGAGTAATTTCTTCTTTCTTTATTTAGCTTCTTAATTACTATCTTGATTCCTATTTATACGTCGTTTTTATTAAAAATAAACTTAATACTTATTATTTTACAAAACTAATGCATAAATGATACTAGTACTATTCTTTCTATTTTACTTTGAAAGTTATTACTACCTTTGAAAGTATGAATTTGACCAACATAGGAAAATTAAATGGTTAATTCATGTTCATTGGTCAATCTCTTTAATTAATCAAAATAAATTAATTTATGTTCATTTATTAAAAAACTTGACTTCACAAGAACACTAAATAAAAATATAATGATAAAATTACCTAATTTTTTTTATAAGAACCGAGAGAGTATGTCTTATAAAAATATTTCGCATTGAAACACTATCTTTTTGTATTTCTTGCGTCTACTATTTTCAAATTCTATTTAAAAATCACAACTCAATGAAAGGAATTATAAAAGTAAAAAAGATATTGAACTACTCCCTCCGTTTTTATTTAGTTGTCACCATTTTAGGTTTTACGTTTTTTAAGATTTAAGTAAATTTATTTGTATTTAATGTTCTCTTGAAATTAAATTTTCAATAAATGATAAATATGTTTGTTAGAAGTCTAAATCAACATTACTTCATATCAAATCATGTAAAGTGAAATAAAAAACATTTTTTTCATATTCTCTTATACCCCATGAAGACTTAATTACAAATGAAGTACATTATAAGTAAAATGCATTAGATGACTATTTAAATTTTTTGAGTTTGAAATAGGCGCTAAAATTTCAATTTGAATTGATCCAAAAAATTTAGTTTGTTTGTTGAGATTCCTTTCCGAAGATCAAATTTTATAAAATACAATGGTGGGAGTAATTAATTGATATGCAGTAATTATAATGAACATAAATTAATTAATTATTTAGTTTTGTTATGTTGATCAAATACATACTTTTAAGGTTAGTATTCCTTTGTCATATATTAATTGATCATCTTATTAAAAATAGTTATCTTATATTAGTTGATCATCTTAATTAATTTTTTTCTATATCACCCTTGCAATTAATTTTTTTTGTAAGTGTTCACATTTATTTGTAAAATTTCCAAGAAGTTCTTAAGTGGCAAATTAGTCAAATTATCTTCTTATTTATGATTTCTTAATATGCGTGTAAAAAAAGTGATTAACTAATATGAGACAGGGGAGAAGTTTTCAAAGTTAAAATAAGAAGAACATTGTCATTTATGCATTGATTTTGTAAATAACAAGTACTCCCTCCGTCCCATTTTATGTGAGTTAGTTTGACTCGACGCTGAATTTAAAAAAGAAAAAAAGACTTTTAAAACTTGTGGTCTAAAATGAATGATGAAGATTTGTGTGATTATAAATCATTTTATTAAGGGTAAATGAACATTTTAAAGTTAAATTGTTACTTAATATAAAAATGTGTCATTTTTTTTAGATTGACTAAAAAGAAAAGTAATTCATATAAACTGAGACAGAATAAGTATTAGGAAACATCTATTTTTGGTAAGTATAATATGTGAATATAGAGGCGGACACACATGTATAGGTGGGGGTGCACGTGAAACCGTTAACTTCTGAAAAAATCATGTGTATATATATATATATATATATTGAGAAACTGATAGAAATAGAAATATAAGAAAAAGTGCAACCTTAAATAATATAGAATTGCTCTTGGTCTGCTAGTAGAAGTGAGGAAATTCCTCCCTGTGGACTTGGGTTTGATCCCAGTCAACAACTCATTTTTTGAACTCTTTTTATACCATCCAATAGTTATTAATGACTAATCGAATACGACATTATCTATTAATTGTCATTGAAAATTTCACTTCACTAATGCTTAATATTATTGATGCACCCAGACTCTTCAAATCCTAGGTTCGCCTCTGTGTGAATAGGAGCATGACCATCCAATAACTATTAATGACTAATCGAATACGACATTATCCATTAATCGTTATTGAAAATTTCACTTCGCTAATGCTTAAATATTATTGGTGCACCCAGACTCTTCAAATCCTAGATTCGCCTCTGTCAGTGAATAGGAGCATAGGGAGGGAGTAATATATAACTAAATATTATTGGTGCACCCAGACTCTTTAAATTCTAGGTTCGCCTTTGTGTGAATAGGAGCATAGGGAGGGAGTAATATATAAGGGTTGAAAACTAAAGACACGTAGTTAAGTAACCTAATATGAAACAATCCCATGTTGGTCAAAATGGAAAATGGTTAAGGCGAAGAATAAATTAATTACAAGCAGTGGCATTGTCTGAGTTTAATTTCTTAAATTAATTGAATGACAAATACAAAACTAACATGGTCCCATTTCTTTCTGTATACCGAAAAACTTAAGGAGAAAACAATCCAAATAGAGCAAATAAATATCACATTGGCAATTTCATGTCTGTAGATATCATTAACATAAATATGAGGGTACAAACAAACTGAATTTCCTTGAACCTATTTCACTCGCAATGTGTTGCTCGTTTGACTCCCAGCTGTGTGAGCAATTTATATGTTAACATTTTATTCCGGAATGCTTTTCGACCCCCTGTTGGCTGTGAATCAGCGATGAAACTCTCTTAAGAGGCCAGGGCTATTGTCAGCCTCTGTTTCGCTGAAAGTTTGGTGTTTTCCCACTTTCCCGAGTTAATGTCCTCTTTGTTAGGTCTTCTTATTTCGCTATTATCTCGATTGATGAGTTATGAGAGTTGTGGTTCAGTCTCAAAAATCAGAATCACCTTCTATAGATGATCTTGATTTTTCATAAGTTGATACATATATACATGTTGTTTTCTCCTCTTTGTTGCTTAGACCATTGTGAGTCTTAGGGGTTGATTTAGCATAAGTTTTGTGGGTCTTGTTTTATTTGAATAGGTTCTAATTTTGTATGAGTCAGGTTCATCTATGTTTTGTTCTGATTCTGCTTAAAATTTGTTTTGTCATTTGCAATCGGTTCCTTGAAAAAATGTGAAATATATTCGGAATGGATATTTGTCTCCCTCTTTTGCTTATCCCTGTTTAGTCTGTCCAACGAACATGTTTGGCCAGCTTAAGTGATTGATTGGAAGCGTTCAAACGTCGGTTGTCGTCCTTAGAATAGAAATCGCAACTTTGGTTCGGGTCTTATAAGTATCTGTTAATTGTTCGATGTTCTGAGGTTCAGTAATCGATTTTCCAGCATATTGTTACTAGTTAAAATAGCAGTAGCTCTCTTATCTTTTGTCTAAACCTGAAGATGATCGTATCGATTTTAGTCTGTCGCCTATTTCAGTCCTTTACGTGTTGTCTCTGCCCAACCATGCCCCTCTCTTTGCATTATATATTTGTTCATGTATATTTGTGCTTGTGTGCAACATGTTGTCTTGAGAAATAGGCTAGCTTGGCTTTAATTACCTCAAGTTATATTTCATTTCCCTTCAAAATGATCCAGCAAAGTCCCTATTGGTTTCTCTTCCTTTGCTTAAAAAGATTGGATTTGCTATAGCCTCCTACATTCGGCCTTTTGACATGATAAATTAGCATTGTTAGATTTCATTAAATAAAGGTGATTAGACTAAAGCACGTGATGTTTTATTGGCTAACTATGTGGCATTGTTTGCTCTTCACCTTAGCTAAGTTACTACTGTACCTTGTCTTGATTATTTTAATTTGAATGAATAATTATTTCAATACTTGTAGTGGCTCATCCTTTAATATTATTACTTGTTTTGAGGCAGTAAATGGGTTTCCCAGAAAAGTTGCATTTATTCACAAATTACTAGTAAATGGGTTTCCTTTTTGCTTTGAAATCTGACTTTGTTAAATCTGAATTTACATGACTTTCATTGCCTTTGAGTGTTATAAATATTGTTCTTATTAGTTACTGTTAATTGAACTCCGTTTAAGGTTGAGTTCAGATTAATCGAATCTCGTATGGTTATTTTTGTTTGTCTTATCCTTGTGAGTAGATGCTAACTTTTATCCATGTGTTCTTTTCATGTAAAATATCCCTCCCGAGTCCTCATGAACTCTATCTCTTCTCCTCGCATTTTCCTATCGGGCCACGAGGGCCCAATATGCATATTTCTCGAGTCAGCCATCAAGGCAGGTTAAGGAAACCGGTGTACAGGTTGAAAATTGACAATACAGGCTGGAAGTTGAATTCTCATGTTCCGGAAACTCGAAAACAAGCTGAAATACACTTTGTATACAGCTGTATACATGGGTATACAGTCAAAAAATAATATTATACAGGTTCAAAAATACGAGAAAGCAGGTGAAAATGCAGAAATACGAAATCCGAATAAAAATACAGGATCGGGAGTCGAGAGTTGGCAGTAGACATGGTGTATACCTCGAATATACACTTGCTATATATCATGCTTAATGAAGATGAGAAAGGGGCCAAAAGCCCAATGAGTTATTATTATTATTTGTTTTTTTTTTCTTTTTGCAGATTTAGGAATTTGGGCCAAAATTCCAAATTCAATATGCCTTCCCTTACCTCCCATGTATTTTATTGTATTTGACTAACGTTTTGATTATCTTATGCTTTAATTAAATTAAATTCCCCAAGAATGGTCATTTCATTTTATTTTCGAATTAAAATATATATATATTATTACTTAGTTTTTATTTTAATATTAGTCTTGTTGACATTTTATGAATTATTCCCCTTTAGAAATTTCCCCTTTAGTTCATTCCCCCTTAAGATAAATACAAATGATAAAAATAATAATAGTAATAAATAAATTAGTTAAAATAAATGAGCTCTTTTACTTAATTAAAATTTAAAAAATAAGTTCTTCTACTTAGTTAAAATTTCAAAAATTAGTTAAAATAAATGAGTTCTTTTACTTAGTTAAAGTTTCAAAATTAGTCAAAATCATTTCTGGTCAAATCGCCGGTCAACCGCGAGTTAGCAGGCATTCCGAGGACCTAACACCTCTCGGAATGTACATTGAACTTCGAACCCTTTATTTTCAATCGATTTTATCTGTTTGAGTCTTTTGAAAACCTCAAGTTTTTTCTTGATTTTTACTAAAAAATTAAGTGGCGACTCTGTTCTTTTGGAAATTCGATTTCTCTTAAACCATAAGTTTAATCGATTTTTCGAAAACTTAGTCATTTTTCTTTTATTTTATTTTTTGAGTAAAACAAGTGTTAAATTGAGCAACATAAGAAAACTAAATGGTTATTGCTCAATTTAATTAATTAAAATAAATTAATTTATGTTCATTTATTGAAAATTTGATTTCAAGAGAACACTAAATAAAGGTACAATGATAAAATTACCTAATTTATTAAGAGACGTGGAATCTAAAATGATTGACATAAATAAGAATGGAGAGAGTATGTCTTATTAAAATATTTCACATTGAAACACTATCATTTTGTATTTCTTATGTCTACTATTTTCAAATTCTATTTAAAAAATCACAATTCAATGAAAGGAATTAAAAAGTAAAAAAGATATTGAACTACTCCCTTCATTTTTAATTAATTGTCACCATTTTAGATTTTATGTCCTTTAAGAAATTAAGTACTCTTGAAATTAACTTTTTAATAAATGATAAATATATTTGTTGGAAGTCTAAATCAACCTTACTTCATATCAAATCATGTAAAGTGAAATAAGATAACAATTTTTTCATATTCTCTTATACTCCATGAAGACTTAATTACAAATGAAGTACAAATATAATTAAAATGCATTGGACGACTATTTCAATTTTTTGATTTTGAAATTGGAAAAATTTCAATTTGAGTTGATCCAAAAATTTTAGTTTGTTTGTTGAGACTCCTTGCTGAAGATCAAATTTTATAAAATACAATGGTGGGAGCAATTAATTGATATGAAGTAATTATAATGAACAATGAATTAAATACTTAGTTTTGTTATGTTGCTCAAATACTTACTTTCAAGGTTAGTACTCCTCTGTTCTATATTAGTTGATCATCTTATTAAAAATAGTTATCATATATTAGTTGATCATTTTAATTATTTTTTTCCTATATTACCCTTGCAATTAATTCTTTTTGAAAGTGTCCACATTTGTTTATAAAAATGTCAAGAAGTTTTTAAGCGGTAAATTAGTAAAATTATCTTCTTATTTATGATTTCTTAATATGCGTGTAAAAAAAGTGATTAATTAATATGAGACGGAGGGAGTAGTGTTCAAAGTTAAAATACGAATAATATTGTTATTTATGCATTGATTTTGTAAATAACAAGTACTCCCTCCGTCCCATTTGATGTGAGTTAGTTTGACTCGACACAAAATTTAAGAAAGAAAAGAAGACTTTTAAAACTTGTGATCTAAAATGAATGATAGAAACTTGCGTGACTATAAATCATTTTACTTAAGGGTAAATAGACATTTTAAAGTTAAATTGTTACTAAATATAGAAATGTGTCATTTTTTTAGAATAATTAAAAGGAAAAGTAAGTCATATAAACTGGAGCATAATAAGTATTAGGAAACATCTATTTTTAGTAAGTACGATATGTGATATGTGAATAGGAGCATAGGGAGGGAGTAATATATAAGGGTTGAAAACTAAAGACACGTAGTTAAATAACCTAAAATGATACAATCCCATGTTGGTTAAAATGGAAAATGGTTAAGGCGAAGGATAAATTACAAGCAGTGGCATTGTCTGAGTTTAATTTCTTAAATTAATTGAATGACAAATACAAAACTAACATGGTCCCATTTCTTTCTGTAAACCGAAAAACTTAAAGGAGAAATCAATCCAAATAGAGCAAAAAAGAAGATCACATTAGCAATTTCATTGTCTGCAGATATCATTTTTGTTCAACATAAATATGAAGGTACAAACAAACTGAATTTCCTTGAAATTGGAACCTAATTTGAATACCTCTAAACATTTAATTTTGACGAATAGCTAGGGCATGGAAACACTTTTCAATTCGACATAATTCCCTTGCAACGTGAATCATGTATGGTGTATCATCTCCTTTCATAGCTGTGCATTTCCTAGCAAGATTCAAGTAGTCTTTCAATTGTTGTTGAATCTCAATTCCAAGTTCTTCAAAAATAGTAGGATCCACTATATCCAGTACATTACTGTCTTTGGTATAGTGATCGACCAGGTTGGTTGGAAGATTTTTAAAATTTATTATCTCTTCCAGAATTGCATAATTCAGTGTATCCATAGTATTACTCTCTTCAATATTGGATTTCGAGTCCATAATATCCTTTCCGGTTAATAGCTGAAAGAGAAGAATCCCAAAGCTGTAGGCATCAGTTTTTTGAGTAATAATACCCTGCTGATTATATTCTGGTGCTACATATCCGATTGTTCCACACAGACGATCTTGTATCTCCAATTTCCCTGGAGGCAATGATATGGACGATGAGAAGTCTACTATTTTGGCAAAGCCGCTATTCTCATCTATTATTACATTGTGAGGCTTTATATCTCTGTGGATAATAGGCGTAGTAAATTCAGTATGTAGGAAAACGATAGCAGAAGCAACATCACGAGCAACTCGCAGTCATTTTCCCAAAGTAACAATTTTCCATCATGATCATTAATATTACCCTTTTTGAAAAGTAGATCGCTAAGAGTAATACCTTCAACATATGCATACACCATAACTGGTTCTTCAAATTCTAGACAGCAACCGATTAGTCTCAGCACATTCTTCAGATGACTCATTTGAGCAGTAATCGCTATATCTCGATGGATATTGTTGAATTGACATCTATTGAACCTAACTAAAACAGGGCGGTTTTCCAGCAAGACCGTAACCATATACACATCGGGGAGCTCCATTTTGCTTTTAGAGTGTCTAATTGCATTCTCGATCTCATTTGCAGTGTAATAACGGATGGGAATTCTGCAATTTCCGTCGCATAAAGCAAGAAGCTCCTCAAGCACCGAACTTCCATTTTTTTAAAAACAATCCTTCTCTTTCTTCCGCCTTTCAGCAGAAACAGAGGAAAAAAGTTTTTTCCTTGTGAGTCCCCTGAAGAAAGGCATCTCGATCTAATTTACAAGTGACTAATCTCCATGAATTGGAAGCTGTGGTAGTGGAATCTATGAACAAGTTGGAAGCTGCTGGTCTTAATTTGTGCATTCAATTCCGCACAAAACAATGGCGACTTGATTGGACTCTCTTATGAATTTCCAATCACTTTCATTGTAATTGTTTATCATGTTATTCCCTAATGTCGTCGCCCTATTAATTAATGGAAATGTTGGTTTATTTTAGGAAGTTGACTTTTTAAAAATATAATTGGCCTTTTAATGATCTACAGTGAAATAATCAAGCACCACTTTCTTTATTTTCGTGCATAGAAAAAGTGATGAATATTTTGTTTTATCGTACACTATACTCATGGTCAAATGTTAATTAAAGATTAATTTGTTGAAATCAAAGATTACTCGAACCACCCTTCGGCGTGATTCAAATTGTTTGACTTGGCAATTTCATAATGGAGGTGTCAAATTAGAAACTCTTTGCTTGTAATTACAATATATTGGCATTTTGGGTCAAGCTCGTCACACGAGTTTGCCTAGTATAATTTTACTTTCATATGTGCTATAAAGGCTATTGCACAAAAATAAAGTTTACTTAACTCTCTCCTTCTCTTGGGATATTAAAAGAACAAAAAAAATCTACATCTTACAAACTCTAACCTTCAATATAATGGAAGGGCTAATATTGTCCTTTTTTTTTTTAGCTCTACACCTGTTCTTCCAAGGATTTCAACAAATACAAGTAGGCATAGTATGGAGGATAAGCTTATGGACATCATTAGTGTTGACACCAAATTTTGTCCCTCCTTTCTTCTAATTTATTTCATTGAGCTTCTAAGTTGCTAATAAGTCGAATACTTTATAATTCGCTAATATTTTCCATTTTTCTCCACTGCTATCGTAATCATCTATATTACTTTAACTTTTATTATTTTTATGATTATCATCTTTGTATTATCATTTTTACTATTTTAAAATTATATATTTTATTTTTGACATTACTATTATTACCTTATTGTCGTCTTCTTTAAAATAGATTGTTGTTACTTTATTTCAAGTTTCGTCCTTACTAAAAAATTTATATAATGTATTTATACTAGTTAGAAGCTCAAAAGAATTAATATAAGAAAGAAAAGGACCATAAAATTGGGCCTAATCGAATTCCAATCGGACCAAATATTCAGCCCGTTTTTTATGTCAAATCTGTCCAAAATAGGCCCAAATTCGCTAGCCCATTTAAAATATATCAAAAAATCTTCAACCCTAATATTATTCAAAACTCATCAGCAACACTTCTCTCCAAAACGTCACTTTCTCCTTTTTCCATTTACGTGCAAAGCTCCATTTAGCTTTCAACATGGACATATTTTGGTTTCTCTATTTTTGGTGAAACTCTTCTCACTCTTTGTATTTTTTTTTTCAACATCTTTCTCTATCAAGGCAACTTTTTCTTTTTTGAGCATTCAAAAGATTTCAAATCCTTGGCCTATTATGAAATATGTAGACCTGGAATACAAAGAGATTTCAGCATCTCTTTGACTTTATTTTGGATTATTGTGAACGGTCATTTTGAATTCAAACAGTCATGTTCAAACTCCGGCTCAAACATATCTTAATCTGAATTTTGGCCTATAAATACATCTCAAACTCTCAGCTAAAGAAACCTTTTGAACATTGGAAAAATTTCACCTATCTCAAAGGCCTAAACACTTACAAGAACACCACCATATAAGATCGAAAAACTCACAATAACACTATAAAGCAAGAACTTACAGTGGTCTAGCATCTAACACTTTCATACAAGTTTAGCCTTCACAAAGATTGTTCATCTTTGCTCGTTTTTTTTTTTGGTGATATAGTGAGTTTGGGATCCTTGACCGACGCCCCAGCTTCACTGCTCCACAAGAGGTAAAATTCATTCCCTTTTTTTTACTTACATGTTTTCTTCTTCTCCTTCATCTACTTTGGTTTGAATAAGATATGTTAATATGCAGAGAAGGTGCACTTACCATAACTAAAGGTCTTGGACTATAATTTTTGATATAATAACAGCATTTAAACATATATTTATGGAGCATGCTTTGTATATACTTAATTTGTGTTAAGTACGTGAAATATTTAGTTTGGTTTAGATGAGAATACAACATGTTGTTAGAGTTATTAATATAACTTTCGATTAACTATTATTTTTTATATAGTACCAAGAACCAGTTTTCCTCATCTAACTCTTTTTCTCATGTTTATTTGGCATGAAAACTTGAGCCGGCGAGTCTCGTTTTGAAACTCAACGACACCGCTACAACATGGAGCTTGCATATCCCTCACATGGAATCGATCATATACATTTCTTTGACACTATACCAATTCACCTTTCCCTATTCTCTATTTTCAGAGACGTGTCCAGATAAAATGACACATTGTAGCTAATTAGTTGTTTAGTCTATTGCTTACCGTTATGTTTGCTTATTTGTTTGGTTTGTTGTGATGTTTCAGGAATGTGCACAAAGTGGGTCTTTGCTTGAATGCCTTAGTAATTTACTTCTAGATGACAGTTTAAAATCAATATGATTAGGTTCACAATTTTATCACACAAGATCAAACCATTTTGAATAAAAATAGTTACCTTCAGATTTTTATATAAAAACAAAAGAGGTAACCCACTTATATTCTTTTAAGCCTAACTAACAGATTGTTTATTATTATTTTTTTATATTTTAGATTAGTCCATCATTTTCTGTCCCAATAACGTTATTTTACTTTTAATATTCATACTTTAGTTACTTAAATGATAATATATATTCATTCACTTAGCATTTCAACTTGTTTCTTACCTCTTTCACTTAGCCTAATTAATAAATTTAAGTTCGGTCGGTTAATCATTTTTAATGGATCTTAAAGGATGCCTAACTCCTTCCCTTTAGATTAATTGAACCCTTACCTAGAATCTTAAGTTTAGTAGACCTTAAAATGAAGTTAACTTTAGAAAATAACTTTAATCAATTTAGGTGTCCTAATTCACCGTAATAATTAGGTGGCGACTTCTTGACTTAGTTATTAACTTTAGAAATCTCCAAAATGTTGTACACTATTTTGACCCGGTTAAAATGGGGTATAACAATTAGAATGTGTTTTTTAGCGACCATTTCATAATTAGCAATCTAAGAGAAAGGTATGGCATGGAACCTGAAAAGAAGTTCCATATATACCTTCTTGGCTAGTTGACTTGTGCTAAAAATGTGGTCGATTGTTTTCTCTTCAGCGTTTATGCAACTTATGCATCAGGAATGTGTTGCTTCAAGTGACAAATACAAAACTAACACGGTCCTATTTCATTTTGTAAATAGAAAAAACTAAGGAGCAGTCAAACCAAATAGAGCAAAGTAAAGATCAAATTGGCAATTTCATTGCTCTTTTTTGTTTAACATAAACATGAGGGTACAAACAAATTGAATTTCCTTGAAATTGGAACCTAATACGAATACCTCTAAACATTTAATTTTGACCAAGAGCTAGGGCACGAAAACACTTTTCAATTCGACATAATTCCCTTGCGACATGAATCATGTATGGTCTATCATCTCCCTTCAAAGCTGTGCATTTTTTAACAAGATCGGAGAAGTCTTTCAATTGTTGTTGAATCTCAATTCCATGCTCTTCTAAAATGATAGGATCCGCTAAATCCATTATATTACCCTTTTTAGTATAACCATCAACAAATTTAAAATATACCGTCTCTTTAGAATCCACTCTATCCACAGTATTTCCCTCTTCAGTATTGGATTTAGCGTCGTCTTCAAAATCTATTCTCTCTTTTGAATTTGTAGAATCCACTCTATCCATAAAAATATCTGGCTCTGCCTTCCCGGTTAATAGCTGAAAGAGAAGAACCCCAAAGCTGTAGACATCAATTTTTTGAGTAATAATACCCGATATGACATGTTCTGGAGCCATATACCTATATGTTCCATACATCCAATCCTCTTGTACCTCCAATTCTCCTGGAGGCAGTGATATGGAGAATGAGAAGTCTACAATTTTGGCAATACCGCTCTTCTGATCTACTATCACATTGTGAGGCTTCAAATCTTTGTGGATAATGGGCGTAGTAAATTCGGTATGCAGAAAAACTATTGCAGAAGCAATCTCATTGGCAATCCGTAATCGATTTCCCCAAGATAATGACGATTTTCTACTAAGATTACCCTTTTTGAAAAGTAGATCGAAAAGAGATATACCTTCAACATATTGATACACCATAACTGGTTGTTCAAATTCTAGACAGCAACCGACAAGTCTCAACACATTCTTCAGATGACTCATTTGAGCAGTAATCGCTATATCTCGGTGCATATTTTTTATTTCCCATGTATTGAACCTAACTAAAACAGGGCGGTTGTCTAGCGACCCCGTAACCATAGACTCATCGGCAAGCTCCATTATTGTTGTTTTAGAGTGTCTAATTGCATTCTGTATCTCTATGGCAGTGAAGTAACGGATGGGAATTCTGCAATTTCCGTCGCATAAAGCAAGAAGCTCCTCAAGTACCGCACTTCCATTCTTTAAATAACAATCATGCTCTTTCTTCCGCCTTTCTGCAGAGGCAGAGGAAAAAAGCTTTTTCCTTGTGAAAAAAGGCATTTTTTTGGTTGCTCTAATTTTGAAGTGATCCATGAATTGTGATTAGATCCAAAAAAACATCACTGGTGGCCGTGGGAATGAATAAGCAAGTTGTGAGCCTCCTGCTGCTCTTTCTTTCTTTGACGCGTCCATTAAATTCCACAAAATTACACTCTAACAAAATCTCCTTTGTGTAGGGGAGTTGACTTAGTGCCCAGTTTTTGCCAATAAATAGAAAAAGTTCAAAATAGTAGACCCGAAGTTATTTTAAGTTTTCACATTGAGATGTAACAGTTCCTCGTCATGTTTGCAATATTGGTGCACGTTTGATCCTTTCTCGAACTGTTGTGAATCAAGATAATTCTGTAAGGCTATATGGGCTAGACATGGTAAATAAGACTAATTCAGTTGATATTATTGGGCCGAGTAAAATTTTGGATAGTTTTATTTGGGATTCAGACCCAATTAGCTATTGTTAAAAAGGTCTAGGGGTTAGAAAGAACGGTTATGCAAATTGTTGAGAAAAATGTCTAGTCCTCTCATCCCCTTTCTTTGAGTCTATGCTTCTCATCTCTCTTCTAGTTATCTTCTCCAATAGTTTTCTTTATTAGTTCCATTTTCCATTGTAACTTCGAGTTTAGTGATTATAATATTTGAATGTTTCTATTGTGAAATTGGAGTTGTTACACGAACTTTTATCTATTTTTCGATATTGATTTTATCCACAATTTATGTATGGAATGTTTAACTCCATGTGAACGAAGGTGAAAAGAGAAACACCTTGTTTTGTTTAGTAAAATATTATTGTAGCTAAAATCGAAAGATTCATCACATTGTTATCATGTGCAATAGTATAACTTTTTCTTTTCTTGCAATATCATTTGTCAATGTGTTCTTAGTTTAGTTGCAATAATATTTCTACCGAATAGAACAAGATGTTTTTCTTCTCACCTTCTCTTAATAGACTTATTATTTCTATTAAATATATAAAAAGACGATTGAATATTCCATACATAAAATTGTGGACAAAATTAATTTTAAAAAATAGGCAAAAGTTTGGGAGAGGACAAAAAATGCACCAATATAGCAAACTTAAGGACCTATAAATACTCCAAAAGTCCAAATGACTTTGAGTCTTAGCGCAAAGATAAAAGAAGTGTAAATTTCATATATGACATATATTATAGTACTATTTTCAAGCTATAGCAGTAGATTTAGACTTTCAAGCTATAGCATTAAAAATTTCAGGTTATAACAAATTTACAATAAAAAGAAATGTTTTTATTAATTGGAAAAAACTTCTAAAAAATAAAAAAATAAACTAAAATTTAAAAAAAATGGAATTAGAAATAATAAAGTAAAAAACTGAAATTGTGGGCTGTAATTTAATTTGAATTTATTGTAGATAATTAATGATTAGCATGAAATAAGGGATCCAAACTAATTAAGAATATTCAGTTTCCTTAATTCACTCTAATTTGTTAAAATTAATTCAAAAATATGATTTTATCCATTTTTCTTCCACATTTCTCTCTCTTCAATTTTCTTCCAGAAATTTT